ATCAGTTTTGATTCAACTGATAAGTATCATTAATTTTCTATATATTGCTGTTTGACGGTGCCTGCTGCCCAAATTAATGTATATTCAGCCATATAATTTATTCTTCTTTATAGATGAAATTTGACAAAAAAAAATTTGAAAATATTTTAGTCGTATAAGCTCAATAATATTTTTTAGAGAATATTGGTAAAATTAAAAAAATATATTCTTTTTACATGATTTTAATATGCTTGTATGCTAAAAGGTTTTTTAAATGATTCAAACAGAACAAATATCAGAGGCCTGCAGGTCTGACTCATATTTTAACCTTTTTAAATATACCTGTGCCGGGCCTAAGAATTTTTTTTAAAATACCTGGGCCGAGCGTAAATAACTTTTTTAAATATCCGGGCCGGGCTGAAATATTTGTATAGAATCCTCTATTATATATTATCATGATGTATTTAGACAAAATTTTCTTATATATATTGTTGGAATAAATCATAATTTTCTTTTATTTTATTTTTTATAAATTACATTTTATTATATCTTTAAACCAAAAAAAAACTTCTTTTATATCTTTTTATGACAATAAAAAAAATAACCAATTGTGAAATACAAATTGATATTAAAAAAATGTAACATTAAAATGATACAAAAAAAATGTTAATATAAAATTTTCATCGAAAGGTATAATCTCTATTATTTAACCTTCCACTCTCCAAAGAAATTCGGCTTATGATTTCCTTGGATAAGTTGAGTGGTAACGCTATTGACGTTCATGATGTAATCTTCCAGATGTTTTGGTATTTGTTTGAGTCTGACCGGTCGAGCATTCCTTATAACTGGATTCATTGATTCTTTCATATTGCTCCTTTCTCTTATGTAGATAGACCCAGTAGGATATCCGTCATTTTGCCTATCGATTCCAGAATGTTAGTGAGTCCTTGTCCTTAATCGTGGCTTCAGAAACATCATTCGAGAATCTCATTTTAATTTGATCCAGATGTCTCCTGATTTTAGCACACCCCGTGTCTATTTTATATATCAAATTACCTTCTTTGTCAGTGACCATGCCCTTGTGCCATTTGTTGTCTTTAAACGTTCTGTACCACACTTTGTCACCAATCTCTATAGCTCTTGCAGGTGATATGATTTTCTCTAATGAGTTGTTGCTCATTTTTATTGGTTTTAGAAAATCCCAGGCAGTTCTTGTTATATGCAGGAATAATCTCTTGCTAGGTGCAACACCCGTTGCAGCATTAGGTGTGTTCCGATAGCAGAACAAAAACCTTTCTAGTGCGATCTTCTCGTCTTCTTTTTTATTTTCCAGACTTTTTTTCATGTGTGTTTTGAAGGTTCTAATCATCCTCTCCACCAGCCCATTGGATTGCTGGTGACATGCTGACGTTCGAGTGTGTTTAATCCCGTGGTCTTTGCAAAACTTTTTAAACAACTTGTTGGTGAAGTTGGTGCCATTATTTGTAACGATTTGTTCAGGTATCCCGAACAAACTTATAGTTCTCATCAGTTTGATGACAGTCTGTTCAGCCGTTATGGAGTTCATCGATTTAATGATGGGGAACTTGCTGTATGCATCGACCATTACCAACCAATATTTTTGCAGAAACAGCCCTGCAAAATCTAAATGTATTTTTTCAAAAGGTTTATTAACGGCAGTCCAAGCATGTTGTATTTTTTTTGGATTATCTCCCCAAGCATTGCATGACTCGCAATTTCTAACGTCATTATCTATGTCGGTGTTGATTCCAGGCCACCAGATGTAGTTTCCTGCAGAATTTGGAAGTGTATAATCTGGGGGTCAACGATACCAGATATGACGCGTACAACGAAACGGTGAGCATCAACAACATACCCACGTTGATGCAAGTAGACACCGGCACAAGGTACACTATACTTCCGAAACATACAGCTAAGACTGTAGGCATAACCACGATACGTAAGACGGTTATGAAACTGACAGGGTATGCCATCAAGGTATTAGGTCTAGTCAATGTGAACGTTAAGTTTGAAGGTAACTCACAAACGCTGGAAGCCATAATGGTGGATTGTGATAAAATCCCCCTGCTAGGGCGTATGTGGCTCCACGCCTTCAACAACATATTAAAAACGTTCTTAGTGGGTAACGTACAGAATGATCTCGAGAAGGTAATCTCGACAACAAAAAAAGACCTCGAATCAACTTACTCCTAGAAACCCAAAATGGTCAGACAAGAGAAAGTTCACTTGAAGCCCGATGCCGTGCCTAAGATCATATCTTCAAGGAGAGTTCCGTGTGCCAAGATCGATGCAACGACTCATAAATTGGATGGCTGGCTGAAGGACAACATAAACCTCGCTCGAGAGGAATCTAGATGTCCGATACCATGCACAAGCGATCCGATTGGGAAGTTAGCTAAGGGCTGCCTTTACTTTACCACGCCATAGTTCGGTTTGAAATGAAGACTTCACCATGAACATAGGTGGTGTATTGCGTGCATATTTTGAAACCAAATATTTGAAATCGCTATTATTATCTATTAAAATTAAATATAATATATTTAAATAAAAATCCAAATTAGGCCGAAAGTTTTTTTTAAAAATAAATCCGAGCCGCGCCCTGTAAATGTTATCACCTCTGGAGGTCTCTGACGAATTTTATCATTTTTTACGAATCTTACCTGAACCAAAACAATATTGGATACGGTTTGCTGGGTTTTTTTAAACGTAGTTTAACAAAAAATTAATGATTATGGATACTTATATCGAGTTTTCGTTTTTACCCCCCAGACCAAGACCAAAAAATCAAGAATGAATACTATTATTTCAGTCACAATATATTTTAATTATCTTTTATTTGATAACCCCCCCCCCCCCCACCTTCCCCCAGACAAGTTCAACCCATTAAACCCTAGAGTGAATACTTATTTCAATCAAAAGATTTTGTAAATAGCGCTTATTTGATACCCATATCAATATTTTGTTGGTAAAATATTCTTGACCCCCCAAGACCTAGACTTAGAGTAATAGTTATAATTATAATCAGAAGATATTTTAATGACCTTTTATTTGATACCCATTTTTATTTTTAACCCACCCCCCTATGTCCGGATCAAATCCATCCATTAAGACCAAGAGTAAATACTATTATTTCAGTCAAAGAATATTTTAACTAGCTTTTGATACCCATATATATTTTGTCTTTAAAAATCTTCCTGACCCCCCCCACCCCAGTTATAAATCCACCCAAGTGATAATTATAACTACAATCAAAAAATATTTTAATTGCCTTCTATTTAATACTCATATCAAAATTTTATTTTTTACCCCCCTCCCACCCACCTCAAGACCAAGTCTAATCCAAGACCACTAAGAGTGAATATTATTATTTTAGCCAAAAAAAGCTTCTTGATGCCCATATCGATATTTGTTGGTAAATATATTCCTAACCCCCCCCCCCCCCAAGGTCTAGCCTTGCCCATTAAGGGGGAGAGGTCGGTCTCCACTTGGATAGATGATTAGCTACTAAATACCTATATTGGACATATCTACTCTTATAGAGCCCAGAAGAAACTAAGCTAACGGATTAATATATAGTCATAGGATGGAAAATAAATACTATTAGATAAATATTGGTATAATGAACCACATTGGAAGAATATTGGTATAAAGAATACCATTGGATGAATATTCTTTTAAAGAATACTATTGGATAAATTTGATTGACATTTATTGATGATTATATATAGGTCTTTCATTCCATATCAAATCGACCAAAAAAAACGAGAATTGCCGACGACCATCTCTAAAATGAACGAAACTTGGCATGATAGTTGTCTATGTTGTGCATTTTAGTAAAATCAAAATTTTAGAGCTCTAGCTCAACCAGGTCCAAAGATACATCTTCAAAGTCAAAAATCGCGCCATGCAAGATTTCATTAAACGTTTTTTTTAAAATACTTAAGATAGGGTTACAAGTTATATATTCATTCTTTTGTCTACATTTGAAAATATCAAAAAATATTTTAAAAATTTCAACCGAAAAAAATAAAAAATTAACATTGTTGAGAAGGGATTTTTTTGGGTGCTGATATTCGTCAGGAATGTTTATTACTTCTATATTTAACGTTTAATCAAATAAATCAGTGTTTTTTCGTTTTATAATTTTTATTATTTTTATATATAAAAAATATAATATAGATTGTTATGATTAAAAATCTTTATAATAAAATATATTTAATTAAAATATGTATTGTATTGCTATTAAAATAAAAAAAATCATTAAATATAACCAATATGATCTCAGATCGAAAGATGTATATCCTTAAAGTCGAAAATTGCTCAATGTGTCATTTCATTAAATCTTTTTTTTATTAAATATTTAAGATAGTTACAAATTTATCATTTTTTAGAACTTAAAATTATATATTGGAAAATATCAAAGAAATTCCAAGTGTTTTCTTATTTCAGGTAAAAATTAATATAGATGGCGTTATAATTAAAATAAAATAAACGTATTTTAAAATTATATATACAAATTATTATTAATAATTTTCGAATTTGAGGATATATATATCTTTCGATCTGGTTGAGCTAGCGGTCTAAAATTTTTTACTAAAATATACAATAAACTATCATGCCAAGTTTCATTCATTTTAGAGATGGTCGTCCGAAACACTGGTCGATTTGTAATGGACTGATCCTTATAAGATAACATAACGGGATAAAAATAATTTTAAATTTGATGTTTTAAAAAAACATGATATTACTAGAAACTGAAATTAAAGAAAAAATGAATATTTATAAATGATGCATACTTGTTATATTTATTGTTATATTTATTGTTATGTTTTAAATAAAATAAAAATTTAATAATATTTCTGAATAACTTCCATTGCTTTTGCGTCCCATAATTTTCTATAAGTTCCATTCCATATCCCTGCCTTTGGGTAGTAAATTGGATAAGATTGGTAAATATGTTGGTCAAATATATGACTACTCTCTCGTGTTTAACAATCTAGGAAATAAACATTTATTAGATTGCCAAAAGACCGTAAATAGCGGCTCCCATACGATTTCTCAATCCTCTTCTAACAACGAGATTTATGAGTTTGACCTTTGTTCCAATGTCAAAACGTCAAAAGATTTTTCCGACCTTCAAATAGAGGCGCATAATCAGGAAATGAGTAAAATTTTTTATATATTTGTTTTCATTTGATTCATAACCACATCATGGCCATATAACACATTTCTAGTGTAACTCTCTATCAGGAAATCCCTTATTTTAAAAGCTATTATTTGAAATTTAGTTTGTATTTTTTTTGATCATTACAATTAACTTTGAATTCATTTATTTTCTTTCTAGATTTATGTCAAAGTCTGGAGTATTTGACCCCCTTCCAATCTCCGGACAGGATGGATATTTTAACAAGTTTGTTTAAAAATTGAAAGATCAAAAATATTCCCGTTTTTATATAACACAGGGAAAAACTGTCTAATTTGGGTTCTTCTTAAATTTCGAATTTTACATTTCCCAATTTAAGTAATCTTTTCTAATTTCTTCTTTCTTCTGATCAAGCGACTAGTATCCTTGGAATAATTCACCCCTTCAAAACTGAGCACAAATTACCATCTCCCAGGACTCGAATCAGACGAATTTTATTGTATTCTTGTTTTGGGAATATTTTTATCAATTTAATTCAAACCTTATTTTATTAATTAGATGACTTCATAGGTGCAAGACGTAATCATAATATAATTAGTTTATACATAGCTCATACATAATAAGGCTAGCCACAATGTGTGATTTTTTATGACATATCACTTATAATAACGCATTTTTATATTGTTTTTAAACCATTTTTACCCCACAAATCCAAAGAAACCTGTAGCTCCACCGGAACTGGGAGCGGCGCAGAAAATGAATCCGCCTTTTATTCAGCTGATTCGGAGAATTCTTTCAATGGTTCCTCGTCTACTGGAAGCGGGCGTGGACAAAGTAACCCATTCACTCATATATTCTCCATATAACAAATTTACTTCTTGTTTGCCATCATTTCCTATATTGGATGACTTCATATCAAGTCTGAAACTTTCAATTTTGAAGAAATTGCCTAGTGTTATTAAAATGGCTAACTCATTTTATCTAGAAAAATATTACCCAGGTCTAAATATTTTGCTCATAGATACACAAAGGTTAGAACATGTATAAGCGAAATTTTGTTGCATAATATTTTTCTGGTTAAAATATTGAGTTTTTTAAAATCAGCTATAATTGAGCCTTTTAACAATACTAAAATTTCCCATAAAAAAGAACATCCAAAATTTTAATCTTATTGGTCCCTAAATATCAGGAATAAAAAATGTTAAAATTCAACGTTTTTTTCGAAATGTAAGATTTTTTTTATTGAATTTAAATAAGTTCGAAAATAATAACAAAATATAAAAATTTTGTGTCATTTTATAACTCCTATCAAAACTCATTTTAGGAGATATCAAAAAAATTTTTATTTCATTAAAATTCAATTTCTATTTCCATTTTGGCAGATATTTTTTGTATGTTAAGCTATCTGAATTTTTCAAATTAATATATTACTCAATTATGTAAAGAAAGTTCCATATTGGAACGGTCAAGGATTCTTTTTTTTTGGTTATGCAGGTTTGGAATACTTTTCTTTACATATGGATTTTTCCTATAAAAATAACTGTTTTAATATATCATTCTTTAAATAAGAATCTTAATACGTAGTAAGATTTACCAGCATTAATGCCCTGAAATTTATCTGCAAATATATATTTTTTAAAGAGTATTCGAAATAATAAATATAAATGTAATACAAATCTTTATTATTCAGCCTATTAATCATTTTAATATTCAAAATTTCCCCCGCTCTATCGACAGCCTTAATTTCTGATAAAATTAATTGTGTATAATCTTTCTTTCCATTTCTCGCTTCAAGTCGTCAGGAAAAATACGTTTCATCTGAACGCCCGACCTTACACATCAAAATTACCATCAAAAATCAACTACGTCCGTTCGGCTTTTTGCAGGTATTTGGATTCGGATGCGGTCAGAAAACGAGCAAGTATGATCGAAATATTTGAAAGATAAATGTTAAAAGTTAAATAAGAACGAAGGAAAGAGAATGGTAAAAATTTAAGAGAAAAAGAATGTGAGAAAGAAGGAAAATAAAAATAATTTTTTTTACGATATAAATTTAGTTCCTCAAAGTACTCAATCACACATTGTTTTCGATGGCAAAGCGCTTAAGAAAATTTCCACTTTACCAACAGGCCGAATTACGGTATACATTATAATTTGAATAAAAAATAAAGCAATTTTAATTCCAATGAAAAAAAAAGATAAGTATTCTAATACTTTCAAATTTAGAATTCGAACATCTCTTATTAATTTTTATTCATTTTATTGCTATTTTATCTCAAGATGGCCGATAAATCAATCAATAACAATGCTAAAATAAATAATCATCCCATTTTAAATACCAAATTCTTTAAAATAAACACAAGTAATAATGATCGTATAATAAACAATAATAACGACAGAATTCCCTACAAGCATGACGAAAGAACAACGAACGATAATAAAGGAATATTAAAAAATGGTGATATTATTGTTAATAATAATAATGTAATAATAAATAATTTTAATAATAATCAAATAAATGATAATATTAATAAAAACGATAAATCACTAAATAGCAGGATTTCTCGTATTCCTAGACCTTCCAAAACTTCAATCAATCATAAAAGAGTATTTTAAAGTGGAATAAATAATACTAAACAAAAAAAGCAAATCGAGCTGCCTAAAAAATATTGCTTTAAAATTTTTTAAATATGCCTGAGTGGTCTAACTCTTATTCCTATATATATTGGAGTTTATGTATCTTTTTTTAAAAGTTTTCTATTCTATTCAATTATTTGTTTCATAAAATTACATTTAAAAAAAAAATTCAATTACAATATATTTAGAATAGTTTTTTTTCGTTACAACGATCGAAGGAAATATTTATTACTTAAAAATAGAAGAAAAGGTATTTTACTAATTAAACCGGTTTATCTACCAAACATATTTAAATTAATTTGGGTATTTTTTTTTACACTAAAATAAAAAAAAAAATTATTATAATTTTTTGATTCATAATTATTCGCACTTTATCGCATATTCATTATTGTATTTAGACATTTTACGCATATCGCTTATCGCATGTTAAGGCTCTCTAAAGCAAACCACGTCCCATCATCTTAATGTATGATTGCTCACTTCCTCGAAAAGAAAGATTTTCATAAGTGGAGGGTCTGTGTTATTTATTTTTTTTATAATAAAAAAATATTTTTCACACTCGCATTATTTCATTCATTAAATTAAAATTAATTTATCATAATTAATATGAATTTTATTTATTTGTTCTAATGTATCTACTTATAATCATTATTTAATAATGATGCTTAATTTTAAATTTATATATATATTCAAAAGTAATGTTCGCCAAAATATTATTTTGTGTTGTAAAAATAGTGAAATCTCTTTAAGATGACCTTTGTGAAATTCTCTTTGAGCAATATTATTTGAAATTGGTCATTTTAGGAGGTTCATTTTTAAAATTTATAACCTGCCAAAAAAGAAATCACAGTATTTTTTTCATATATTTTTTTATAATTATAATAATTCTGTTATTTTAAAAATAAAATAATCTTTATTAAGGTTACACAATGACATAATAAAAAAAATCGATTGGAAATATTTAAATGATATTAAAAGAAGACAGAAGAGGAAAGGAAAAAAATATTATATAAATGAAAAGGATCTACTCCTAAAACATTCAGTTAATCAACATGATGAGACTAAGGAAAATAATTTACAAATCTAATTATTTAGCTAAAAAAATAATTAAAATACTTTACTTTTTGGGCGATGATACCACATATTTATATTTATAGGAGTTATTTTTCAAAGTGGGTATTACAGTACACACACTATAGTATAATCTAATATATATAATCTCCATAATCATAACACGATCGTTTTCGTATCTCCAATGTATTTTAAATTTAAGGAGACTATATGGTGTAATGTTAGTTTTTTGCTCTCTACGAGAATCAAACACAAGCCTCCCGCTTCAAAGGCATATGCTTTACCGCATGCACCAACTTGAATATAAATAAATTAAAAATATTAATTATATATTTATTAAAGTTTCAAAGGCGTATGCTTTAATCATGCACCAACTTGAATATAACTAATTTAAAATATTATTTATATATGAAGGGTAATTATTTAATTTGTGTGTATGATATTAAATATACTTTATTAATAAATTTTATATAAATATTAAAATTTAAGAGTAAAAGAGGTAAAATTGTTGCAATGTATACTGTGAGCATGTATTAGAAATATCAAAATTTGAAAATGTGATGGAAATCATATTGGATAAAATTTAAAATAGAGGTTCTTTAAGATTTTTGAATTTTAAATATGGGTTATAGATTGGTCTGAAATTTTTGTTGCAGACATAGCCAGGCCTGATCAAAAAACCATATCCCATGCAACTTTCATAAATTAATTAATAGTTGATATTTTATAAAAATAATGGAAAATTTTAGAATAACCCCAAAATAAATATAAATTTTTAAATAAAACCTCATAAAATAGGAAAATTTTGTATATTTACTCATAACTTCATAATTGTAGAATGTATGTTATTCATAACTTATAACATTTTTGATTAAATGTATAACCTTTTTGTTTTACTTATATATAATTTGACTATGATTGAAGTTTATCTCCTTATTTGTTAACTTAGACATATCTTTTTATTTTTTCTATTGTAATTTAATAACAATTTCTTAAATTTAATTTTATATTTTGTAACTAAGTAATAAATCATTTGGTTTGTTTAAAATTTAAATTAGGATGAACATATTTTCAGAATGGTACTTTAATATGTATTCAAGAATTTCATATAAATACCAGGAGCTCACCAGTAGAATCATAGGTAAATCAGATATTTACCCTTCCTTTGATGATAATTTTGAAATTAGACAGATTTAATTCTTATAAATCCCTTACATCAGATCTATTTTTCTGGATCAAAATAAATTATTTGGGTTTTCCTGGGCTTGGGAAATATTTTTCACCATTAATATGGACTTGGACATAGCTTGAGAAACATTTTTCATAATTATTATAGTCTAAGATTCCTGTAAATTTTTTAATTTTAAATATGGGCTAGAAATAGGCCTGAAAATTTCTTTTGAAAACATGACAAGGCCTGATCAAAAACCAAGGCCCATGCAACTTTCATATTCTGATTGTATTTTTAAATGCATTGTGACTTTTTATATATTTTTTTTCAGTCCTCAACTATCAAAATTATTATGGTCTTTTGCGGGTTTGAGAAAACCAAGTGCGAGGACCTGGCTTGGGAATTTTTTTAATATTAGGCATAGGTGTAATATTAAACACAGAATATTTATATGGCCTTCAGGTAAAATCTAATTTAATTATATTTTTATTTAAAAAAATAGTATTCACTCTTAGTCTTAATGGGTTGGCCTTGGCTGGGGTGAGCTGGGTTAAAATAGACTAAAAAATAGATTGCTTTTATAGATTTACCTATCTCCAGGCTTGGAAATTTTTTTTAAAATTACTATCGGTTGGCCAGGTTTGAGAAAATTTTTTTATAAAATTATTATGGGTTGGGCTGGGCTTGGAAAATATTTTTATAAATTATATTGGGCTGGGCTTGGGGAAAATTTTTCAAAATTATTATGAGCTTGGAGGCTTGGGAGTTTTTTTATTATTAATTATAGGTCAGACATTGGCCCAAAATAAATTTTTTTGCAGGCCAGGGCTTGACCTGATCAAAAAACCAAGGCCCATGAAAATCTGAATTTTGATTGTATTTTTAAATTCATTATGATTCTTTAAATATATTATTTCAGTTCTACCAAAATTATTATGATCTTTCATTAGGCTTGGAAGAATTTTTCATAATTAATATGGCTTTGGACTTAGCCTGGGAAATTTTTTAAATATTAGGTATAAGTAATCAGTAATATTTAACAAATAATATTGGTATTATCAAGTAAATGCTCTAAATTTACTTTTACTCAAACCATAGCACTTAGTTTTAATGGATTAAACCTGGCCTGAAGGAAGGAGGGGGTAAAAAGAATAAAAATTGGATCTTATTTTCAAATAACAGGTAACATGCATAAAAGTAAGAAGAAAATTTTCATTCCTCGTCATTTTTTATGGGCTATCTACTAGTAATATATAAATGCGCATCCTATGGGTATAATTAACCACATTATCCCAAATGTATAGGTAATTTATTTTTAAAGAATAAATTTTTATCAATATTACTAATGGGTCGAGATAGGTAGAATTTAAGTATTTGAATATTTCTATCTTAAAAATATTAATTTTTTGGGGCGAAAAACTAATTCAACTTTCTAGACTGACGTTCCGGAGTAATTTTATCCAGTAATACGAATGACTTTAAAGGCATCGAGATCCATTCTCAAATAAATGGGTAAATTGTTCATGTCACTCAACTAACTGGACGTGGGCTCTCGAATGCGAACGTCTCATGATGATCCAAAAATATATATAGGCATTATAGATAAATAAAAATTCCTAACTTTATCCTAATTCCAGAGAAGCTTTAATTATATTTTTATCTTTATATAGAAAAAAAAATTTCTATCTATTCCTTTTTTTAGAATTTATATTTTTTAAGTCCCTCGAGTTGATTATTTTTTTAAAATTTTAAGCCCACCACTCTCACGCTATGCAGGGCTCTAATATGGGTTATAAAACCCCATAGATGTAGTGATTAAAAAAAATTTTTGCCGACACCTCGTTACTGCCGAATGAATATCAGTGATATTTATATAAAAATCACATTTTATTAAAAAAATCAACAATCTTTTTTTATTTAAAAAAAAAGAAAATAAATTTAATATTATAAATAATGTACATGATTAAATTTGATATTTTTCTATTCCTTATAAGTTATTTACAGTTCAGATTCGACCTTATGAGTTCGGCTCAAATTGTAATTATTATTTAACTTTAGTCTTTTTCTTTAGCTTACTAATCCCAAAACTAGTTGGAATCAAAACACTTCCTATTCTTCCATATGGCTCGGCTTTGAGGCATATCAATGATGATTTTCTTACTCAAGATGTCCTTGCAAATTTGAGAAATCCAAGTTAGTCGTGGCATGCCTTTATTTCGTTGGCCATAATTTCTAGATTGAGAACTTACTGATTCACATAAGTGAGTCAGTTCTTAACACATGTCCATACTATCTTAGTCTTCCATCCTTTATCTTTTCCAACATGGAACTACTCCCATCTTCTTTCTTAGGGTATCATTGATCATACGTTCCAACTTGGTGTATCCTTGGCTCGATCGGATCATACGTATTAGAGTTACATCCTATCAGATTTCTGGAGATAGTATCATATGACTTTTACTGGTCAATAAACACCATATGCTGTTCCTTCCTCATCACCGCATATTTTACCATCATCGCTTGAAGTGCAAAAAGGTTTAATGGTACAAAACAGAATTGATTTTCGCGGATATGCACTTCGTCTCATAGTTTCCTGACAACGATTTTTGCAAAATCTAGTATGGCTTGTAACTTTAACCCCCCCTATAATTCGAGATTATATCTATATTATATCTTTCCGATGTCCTCACTACGTCATTCGTGACATCATGTCATCGGTACGTATTTATTTATTTTTGTAAATAAACTTTTTTTTTATCAAGCCTCATTTATAATCAACGCTTATGTATATTCAAATAAAGCCTATAAATCGGTATTTGAAAAGGGTATGTTGCGATTAGTTGATAAAAAATATGCGATTTCGATAAAAGGTAGATGATTTTTCTTAAATATTATAGAAAATAATAGATTTATCTTAAAAAAATTTTATATCATGGAAAGACTATTGTTAGAGTATCAAATATTCTACTCAGAGTTATATAAAACTGGTAGGAAAAAATCTAAAATAAAAGGAAACTGCACATATTTATGTCAATTATTTTTAGAATAATGATGTAAGTTATTCTTAAGTATTTATTAAAATTAATATATTTAATAATACTAAATATTTTAGGGTAATGATTATCAATATAGAAGGTGATATTAATGATGATTAGACATATATTATTTTTAGCTGATTCATAAAAATAATTAGAAAATTATATTTATAAAAAACAAAGATTTGTCATTTTTAATATAAATGAAAAAATTTTTTAATACCTGCTATGCTACAGATTACATTTTCTTAGCCTTGGATTATTACATATGATTATTTAAAACTCAGCCCCTCTTTTAAATATAGTTAAAAAATTTATAGATGATAAAATAAGGTAAATACAAGAATAATATTTATTTTATTAATTAATGATTCAAGATATGTAATAATAAAAAATATTTTATATTTTATTTATAAAAGTTAAATATAAAAAAAACATGCAAATTATTAACATAACATATTTTTTTATTTATTTAAAAAACATATTAAAAATAACATATATATCGATCATTAGTATTCTTAATTCTATTTATTCAATTTAATTATTCGGCATAAACATTATAAAACCGAATGGTTACAAGCCCTTTACAGACGACCATAGTCTATCTTCAACCAAAGCGATAGCCAATTGATTAATTCTCCGAATTACTTGCGAAAACATATCTAGATGAATCACACTACACTAATTTCTCAAATAATTCAAATTATATTTATCTTTTCTCAATCGATAATTCTTCAGAGTCTCAAAAAAGGAAAAAAAAAATGAGTTCCCTTCTCATATCGGATATTTCCGTGCCCCTTTTTTTTTGTTTCACTGATAACATTACCTTCTTCCATGAAAAATTTTGCGTCATTTCAAGTATATTATTATCCACCATTTTTACTTACTACCATTTACGTTAATGTTAATTGCTAATTGTTTATTGTTTATTTTTTTTTATTTTTTTTTAAATAACATTCTCCTAACATCCATTTAATTAAAATAAAATCAATTTAACGATAATCTTCAACAATTTTATTTCGAGTTCTTTTTTTTTCTTCTTATTTTTAAAATTTTTTTTTTTAATTTATATATATCCATCTTATTCCCCTTCCTTTAAGAAAAACAATAACACAAAAATTTCAATTCCCTTTCCCACCTTGCCCCTCCCCCTATAAACATAAATGTCCCCTTCTACACATATCCCAATTAGAAAAAAATGTCCAAACTGTGGGCTACATACCTTAATCAACAAAAACGGAACCCTAAGGAAGCACGGTAAAAGTGGTAACTGGTGTCATTTATCACATCAGTCACCTTTAACAGATCCTATTCCCCCTCCATTTTCTCTATTGCATTTAACATTAACATCCCCTTCACATATCCCAGCTCTCACCACAATTAATAATTTATCTGTTAATGAGGACTCACCCTGTACTTCCAATGAGTTACCAATACCCTCCTTTTCCGATGAATTTACAAATTTACCTAAATCTCATATTATCTCAAGAATCCCCCGGGGAGCCAGGCTTCTTGCGGCTAAATCATATAGTAAAACTATTAATAACCTTCTAACCAATTTTAACTCCCCACAGCACTGGAAAGAGTTTCTCTTATTTGGCTTCCATGCCTTTCAGGTTCCAACTGACAAAAGAAAGCTGTCCCTCACTCAACAAATTAAGAACAGGTTAAATGATCTAGACAACATTTCAATGGATATAACTTCCACACCTAAGTTATCCATAAATCCTTTTAAGATAAAAGTAAATTTAGTTGGAAAAAAAATCGATAATTTAGATATAAAAGGAGCACTCCGTCTGGCCTCTTCATCAGACACACTAGCCCCCATTAATTTTCAAACTTATACCCGATTGGCTATGAAGCACCCCACACATCAGCCATCTTCAACTGAATTTCCTGGTCTAAATCCCACATCTTATCCAATAGAATTTACCCCAGAGGAAGTGAGAAAAGCAATCTCAACCTTCCAAAAAGATACTGCACATGGTTTTGAAGGCATGAGACCGATATATCTTCAAGACCTAACAATCCCTCTTCTAAATTCTCAAACTACACTACTCAACAGTATAACTCTCCTTTGTAACAGGATCTTACATGGTGACGTTCCTATCTTCGCCCAGCCAATTATGTTTGGAGCAAAACTAATAGCTCTTACAAAACCAAACAAAGACTTGCGCCCAATTGCCATAGGCACCCTTTTTAGAAGACTAGTATCAAAATTGATTTCGGCTCGAATCAATGAGAAAGTCTCTACAATTCTCACATCAACTCAACTAGGGGTTGATGTCAAAGGCGGCTGCGAGTCTGCCGCTCATATAACCCGAATATTTCTACAAAATAATCCTCAAAATAAACACCTGATTAAAATTGATTTTTACAATGCATACAACACAATAAAGCGATCTGTCTTCCTAAAATCCTTTATCAATAGCTTCCCATGCTACTCCAGCTACATTTTAAGCTGCTATGCGAATCCCTCCATCTTACAATATGGTGAATATAGGCTCTCTTCTTCAGAAGGAATTCAACAGAATGATCCCCTAGGGTCGATATTATTCTGTCTAGGAATAGACAATCTAGTTAAAATATTAAAAGCAGTTGCCTGTTAGATCTTCATATCTGGTACATAGATGAAGGGATTATAAGCGGAAGCCCAGAAGAAGACAAAGCCCTAGAAATTTTGCAAAAGGATGGGCCAGACATAGGCCTTCTCTTAAACGTCGACAAAACAGAATTCTGTCAGCTCACCTCTCAATCTCCCAACTGTCACGCCTTTAAAGAGGTTATGGCCGAAGAACTAACACATCTTGGCTCACCAGTTGGGGGTTGCTTAGCAGTTGAAGCCTTTTTCCAGGCTACTTCGAATAATTTGAACAATATGGAGGGTCTACTTATGCAACTTCCCACGCATAAATCTTTCTTCTTAATAAAAAATTTCTTCAATATACCAAAGATCTTATATGCTCTACGGTCTACTGCTGTTTTTAAACATCCCAAACCCTTAAGAGCATATGAATCCATAATTAAAAACATCATGGAAAAAATAACTAACCTCAAATTTAACTCCAATTCGTGGCATCAACCACTCTCCTCTGCAATAAAGGAGGCTTAGGGTTACGATCACCCATAGCCTTATCAATTAGTGGTTTCATCTCGTCCAGATTGGCAAGCTCCAAAATAATAACTGATCACCTGACCTTGCCAGATGCACTACTTGACGAAGCTTATGTCATTTGGAAAGCCTCAGTTGGAGATGAATGTCAACCACCAGCCTCCCATAAACAAAAGGATTGGGATAATCCGATGATTGCAAGGTCCGTTGATTACCTCTTTTCGACATGCAATCTGAAGATCATGCCCTATTAGCTTCCCTCAACCAAGGTTCAGGACATGAATACTTGGATGCCATCCCCTCTAAAAATCTTGATCTCGAACTTTCAAATCAAGAATTCAGTTTTGCTGTAGCCATTCGATAAAATGTAACAACCTCAGTTTCATATAAGTGCAAAAGGCCAGTTAGTCAAACTGGTCGTCATTGCCTCCAATGCATTTTTAGCAGCGGACGCTCAATCCGGCATAACAGGTGTAATGCTCTCATAAAACGAGCCTTACAGTCAGCAGGCTTTCCTGCCACTTTAGAACCCTCAGGTCTCTTTACGGATGGGAGACGACCCGATGGAATTACACAAATTCCCTGGGAGAATGGCCGATTTCTAGCGTGGGATTTCTCCTGAGTGGACCCCCTCTCACCCTCCAACATCAATAAAGACATTTTAAAATACACCGAAGATTTTAAAACAAATAAATATGTCGATATTCCAGATGAGTATAAATTCGTACCAGTTGTCACGACAACTTTAACATCTCTTGGAAGTCAGGCTCTTAGCCTAATTAAAAAGATTGGCAGAACCTTAAGAACAAAATCAGGAGACCCAAAAGAAGGCGTCTACTTACGTCAACGCATAGGAATTCAGATTATAAAATCTAATTTCACATGCTTCATAGGTTCATTCCCCGGGGAGCCCGATTAATCTATATTTTCTTCTTCTTCCCTAAATCATTTAAAATTACCCCCCCCCCCTTCTTCCTCGTATTATCATTTGCACTAATTATATTCCCATTATTATACTTTGTATTATGAAGTCGTTGGTTGTTAAATTTCTTAAAATTTCTAGAATTGTTAAATTATATATTTTTCTTAAATTCCGTTATGTAAAAATTGTATAAATGATTTATTATAAAATAATAATTAGTTTATTTGAAAACTATATTAAAGTTAAATATAAAAAAACATGCAAATTATTAACAAAACATATTTTTTTTATTTTCAATATACATTTTTTGGTGAAAATTATTTTGCGTTCTTTTTTATTATATTTTAGGCACTCCATTCTATATAAAAATTTTAAAATTTTACCAGCATATTTTGTAACTTTTTCTTAATAATAGATAATAATATAAATTTTATGAATATTTTTAAAAAAAAAAATAAAAAAAAATAATGAAAATATTTTATTATAAATAAAATTATTTTCCATTCTTTTCTTTATTCGATAAAAAAAGGAATATTTTATAGATAATATATTACCTTTATTACCTTTCCCTTTCTTTTTTTCCTTTTCTTTACCTTTACTCCTTTCCACTTTTCTCTTTTCTTTTACATATCCTTTCGCCTTTTCTCTTCATTTCTCCTTTCCCTTTTTCCTCTCCCCCCTTTCCTTTTTCTTTTCCTAACATTTTTTATTTTTTTCCTTCTCCTATTGTTTTCCTCATTTCTTTCCCTACAATTCCTCTCACTTCTCCTGTTTCTTTCAATTTTTCCTTTCTTCCTTCCTATCCATTAGTTTTCATTCTTATAAAAAATTTAATTCCAACTTGCCATTTTCTTTCATGCACCGGTATTTTCTCGTTAAAAGTTTGACTAAAAATGAAAAGGTTCTATCAAAAAAGGAAAAGATCCAATGAAAATAAGAAAATCGTTATTTTTTAAAATATTTAAAAAAAAATTATATTCTTAAGGATCCAACATTATAGAAAGCTTACCAAAATGGTTCTCCAAACAATATTCGTCTTTATTCGCATATATACTTATTATTTTTCATATAGTAAATATTTTTATAATTTTTATTTCTCATCATTGTTCCTGCTCAATAAAATTAGCTATTGAAAATATACTCAATAATATTTTTTTAATATCAGTCCTTAACCCCATACACATATTTTTATTTAAACTCGGATATCTCATGATTTGTGATCTTCGCCATTTGTTATTCAGCGCTATTTATGATTCATGGGAATTTCTGATTCTGCTTCATTTGTGATTCCCAGGCTACACCCCCTCCGGCCGAAGCTCGGGCTAGGGCCTAGCCTTAGTTATTATAATATTTCAAATTTGGATTATTAAAAAATTTTATAATTGTGGTGGCTTTAGACATAATTTTATAAGTAACTACGTTAAATTCATAAGTAGCTACTAAAATAGCTATGCTATATTTAGAATTTAATAGCTAGAGTGCGCTATTTTTTTTAAGAAAGGGGAAAGTAGTTGTATCAAAAGTAATAGCAAATAGCATTGATTATTTGTTAGGAAATGATCAATATTGCTAATTAGTGTAAAAAATATGATATTAACTAATTTGACAGATGGACAAAGGAGTTGCCATAGGCTATCAAATTGGATGTAACATACTTTAACCACTAATGCTGTAAACGTTACTACAAAAAAGAAACGCGTTACCGTTATACGTTACATCTGAAAAAAGGAAGGCGTTACCGTTACCTTTTCAAAAAAGGAACGCGCGTTACTGACTTTTCAAAAAAGTAACGGGCTACTCGTTACTTAAAAAAATTAAATATACAAAAATAATTATTATTTTTTTCCGACAATATATATTAAAATAAAACTATACAAAAAGAATATATAAGATCGTTTTATAAAAAAAATATTCATATATTTAATTATAATATAAAAAAAATTATACAAAAATAATATATTATAAGATAACATCTTTATGTAACAATTTTTTATTTATTTTTAGCACAATTGATTTCAAAATTTTGATCAGACAAACCAGAGCGCTTAGTGCTCAACACAGCTGGTTAAATAATGGGATGTTATTTATAGTATTAATAATAAATAAAATCTATAATGAAATTCTCTGTAAAATTTTGTTATTGGATAAATCCTGGCTATGCCACTCTTTCATATTTATTTATTATTTAAACAAAGTTTTTAAAATCACTATTTTTATTCTTTAAATTTATTAACAATTATAGTCAAACCAATAGCAATAATAAAACAAGAAATAGAAGATATAAAAAACTCAATATAATACTTTGAACCAACACCAATATTTTGTTAATTTTGGGTTTTTAATGTTGGTTCACAGCCCAATACTGTAGTATAATTTAATTGCTTATATTTAGGGCTGTGCCGATCCATATATTTTCACCGATCCAATCCGATATTGCTCCAAAACTGATGCGATACTGATACCGATCCGATATTTATATTGAACCAAATATAATTAAAAATCAATATTTTTTATGCAAAAAATCAAATTGTGCATTTAATTTAATTTTTTTTATTTCTACAATTAAGACTATAATTTAAAAAACATATATTTGATAATATATCCATTTTATTTTGGTATGAATTATACAATTGCTTAAAATATAAAATTATAATATATTAGATTTTTTTTAATAAATACGAGAGCCTCTAGATTTTCTGGCAATAAGCTTCTACGATATGGAGTATCTATATCCCCTGCCGTACTACTGAAGGTAAACTCAGATGATTCCACAGATAACGCATTTTGCAAAAATAATCTTTGTCTTTTGAAAATATATCCATAATTCAGATACCATATTTAAAAAAATTCTTTTATTAAAGTATAAATAAAAAAATTGGCCTTATTTAAAAAGATTTAAAATAAATAAAACTTTGGGTGTTCCTTTCTATTTTTATAAAAAAAACTTTTAAATTACTATAAATTTATTTTAAAAAAGAATAAAATTTAAAGGGTGTTGTGCATTTGCATTGTTTAAAAAAAAATTATTTAGAAAATATAATAATAATTTAAAATAAATATACATAACATAAAATATAAAAAAAAGAAGAGTAAAAAGATCGGATCTGTTTTTTACAGGTATCGGCCCGATCCGATATTTTTGGAAAATTCTAAATATCGGTGCCAATCCGATCAGATATTTAACATCGATACAGCCCTATTTATATTTTAATTCCATGATTAAGCTTTACAAAATATTATTCTACTATTAAAGTAATATTTAAAATGCTATATTAATTTATCTTTTTACCTTCAAATGCTTTTTTAAGTTTGAACTGCTGGACATTGAAGTTGAAATATTTGTGTTGGGATATAATTTACATTTCCAAAGTGTAGACTTAGTACCATTAATTTTCTTTATTGGTTTAAAATATATTTCAAATTGAGGCCAGGGAAGGGTTAAATTATCTTCTGAAGAAGTAAGTACTATGGACATAATATTCTTAAAATAAATTATAAGAATAAAAATATCATTATTTACTTTGATTTTTGATTGAATATTAATTTCGACAGAAAATTTAACAACGAGAATTTAAAATAAAAATGAAGGCAGTGGTTGATATGAATTAAAACTCGGATTAAATTATTTATATTAATAATTAAAAAATAAATAAAAGTAATTTTATAATACAATAAAATATGTTTTTCTTTTTGTTGATATTTTTTAAGAAAAAATATAAAGTAATGAGTAACGTTTTGCGTTACCGTTACTCAAAAAAAAGAAACGCGTTACCGTTACTCCTTACCTCTAGAAGAAGATAACGAATGGCGTTCCTTTTCTTCAAAAAAAGTAACGTCGTTAGTAACGATGTTACTTTTTTGACGTTACTTCACAGCACTATCAACCACATACATGCATAAAATGTAAAATATCAGTTGATTACAAAGGGAGACTTGCTTAATTTTATAAATAGTCAAGGCAGACATACAAGGCATTCAGTGATTCGAATACCAAACATTCTGGAGCTAGCTAATTTATCATCAGATGATGGTTTTATGGTTTAACTTCTGTACCTTGGTCTTTAGTTAAATCTTTAGT